CTGACAGAAACTGCTCTTTTTTCAAGAACAGCTTTAAGAAGGGAGAGAGAAGATCTGCCAATGAAGAAGAGGAGGAGGAGATTGGATTTACACCCCGCCCTTCACTCAGAATCTCAGAGTGGCTTACAAACTCCTTTCCCTTCCCCTCCTCACAACAGACACCCTGTGAGGGAGGTGGGGCTGAGAGAGCTCTTTCCAGAACTGTCCTTGAGAGAACAGCTCTTATCAGAACTATGGCTTGCCGAAGGTCATCCAGCAGGTGCAAGGGGAGGAGTGGGGAATCAAACCCGCTTTTCCCAGATTAGAGTCCGTGCACTTAACCACAGCACCAAACTACTCTTAACACAGTTCTGTCCATCCCTCTACTTTCTACTGCTATTTATGTAGGTGGTTATGCCACCTCTGAGCCCTGCTGGAGACAGTTACAATTAAAAAAAACCACCTTTATCAAGGTAAAAACAACATGCCATTAAACCAAGCCTGGGGACCTAAGCAGCATAACACCATCCACCATCCCCTTGAGGCCATCATGGGGTGGGGAAAGCTACCAGAACCAGCCACCTGGTACCATATTTTTGTTTCCTGCTACAATTGCCAGCTTGTTCAGCTGACACGGCTTCAGATTCACATGAATTTAAAGGTGACTTCAGTTCACAGGAAGCCGGCTTAAACTAAAGCAAGGAAACCACGGTTCCACTACAGTTTGTGCTAGTTTGTTCGGAAGGGAACTGTATCTGAACTTGGAGGCTGTGTAAGACAGAGAAAGAAAGGCGATAACTTCTGAAATTTTAGGGAGATAAAAGGTCTACATGAAACAGCAGCAAGGGCTTGCCCCCCGTCATTCCAAAGCCGAATGCTTGGAATAAAGTCATCCACATTTTCACATTGCCACTTATTTATTAAAACATCTATTAAAACAAGCGGTTCAAGGCAGCTTGGTCCATCCGCATGTTCCTAGTCCTAAAAAATAAATCATGGGGTATCGGGGCACACTCACAGCACAGAGTTCTGGAAAGGCTGGAATCTGGTAGCCAGATGACCCCAAACAGAGAGAATAAACCAGGAAACCCCCCCCCCCCATACCAACATAACATTCCAGTTATCCTCCATTTACCAAAGACACACCCACATTTTCTTGCACTTGGCCTAGAAAATGACTCTTCTGCTTTTCCAGCTGGAGATTTTCAGGGTGTTTTCTGAATGCTGCACAGATGCTGACATTCTTGAGCTAATTTTTTGAGTGATTGGGCTGGGCTCATCTTCAGCAGTGAACGTGCATAGTATTATAAATAATGTGATTAGAAGATAAATGTTTTAAGTAAATTTGCTTTTTTATCCTATCAGCAGCTTTTTTTTTAACTCATGTGACTTGACTCTGCCTTTGGCAAAGGGGCTGATTTTCCTCTATTCTCCAAGACACACAAGTTCCAGTGCAACTACTTGTTAAGCAACCAGCTATCAAGATCACATCGTTGCAGAAGTGGCTGTGTAGAGGGCAGATCTTTCTGTTCCATTAAAACACCTGAAACCTCTATTGACCACAAGATCAAGGCAACTTACCCAGTCATTATAAAATGTAGCACAGGTCATTTGAAGAGCTGTATAATCTGGCCAGCATTGAAAACCCAATCCTTACTCTGAACAAGCTTTTAACGATTCACTTTGCGCTTACACCTTGATCTTTTTGGCATACCCAGGAACCTGCCTTTAGCTTTTATACTGTTTTGTTTTTCTGGTTTACATTGGTCAAAGATTCATAAATATTCCAGGAGCCTGGTACTTAATGGTTTGGTAAAAACCTATTCCACATTAATAAGTGATGAGGTTTTGAACTTCCCATTTATAAAATGCACATGTAACAGCAAGTTACCAGTGCGTGCATTTTGACATATACATTCTTGGAATGTCTTCCCTAAATAAATCTGGTGATCTTTCCTCCACTGGATATGGAAAGACAGCATGATCTACGGGAAGATAGTGGGTTATCTGGGGACAGGGATCCCAGGAGAGTGAGAAACTGAGTAAGGGATTTCCCCCCAACCACTGCATTTAGTTTTCTTTTTGTGGGGAGGGGTGAGGAATTGAAGAATGACTCATAGCATAATGTAAGACCTTAGCATAGCATAACATAAACTCGCAGCATAACGTTAAAACCTTCCAAAATTAATAAAGCTATTCCTTAGCAAACAAGGGGCTAATTTGGAATTTGGAAGGAATTCCTTTTAATCTTGTTGTGCAGAAATACTGTGGTGTTATCATACTTCTGTGTAGAGGGGCAGAAAAAGAAATTCACACACCTGCATGCAACTTTATAAGGGCTCAGAGCCGAGGTTGTCAAGGAGCAAAAATGTCAGACTAAACAACTGCCTGTACTGCTCACGTGACACAGAGGTGAAGGTGGCAGTCTTAACTTATGGTTTACATGTATTTCAGAGCACAGATGGACATGTAATGTTTTAATGTTCTTCTTAAACCAAAGGCTTTATTATTTTAGACTACTAAGAGAAATCATGTCCACTGTGAGAATAAACATGAAGGAAACTATTATAGTCCTTTTAGGAGCACATCTGCTTTAGAAGGCAAGGTCAACAGGCTACTGCATAGTAAATCGGCATTACAGAAAGAGGAACAGGAACAGAATCAGTATATGCAGAAATGTAGGGGAATTTCAGACAGGCGATAGATTCCAGAACGGAACCAGTTCTCAAACGGGTTCTGGTCTGTCATTTCAGACAGAACCCGTTTGAGAACCGGTTCCCTTCCGGAATCTATTTGCCATTTCATACACAAACGCTTCCAAGTGGTCTCCTGTGCCCTCTCCCGGTTCCGATACGCTTTCTTCCCCACCTTTTTTCGCCCGTGCGGGCGATCTCCAGCTGTTTTTTTTTTGAACGTTCGATTTATAGCGTTATAGCACTATAGCGGTATAACGGAATAGCATTATATCAATACCATTGGAATGCATTGAGTGTTTTGTTATACTGCTATAGCGCTATAGATCGAACGTTTTAAAAAATCGATCACCCGCGCGGGGGGGGAAACGGCGGGAAAACAAAGCGGTGCAAGTCTGAAATGCCAAACCGCTTCTGATCCGGTTCATTTCCGGTAGGGGCAAGCCCTGTGTGAAATGGCAGCCCTGTACCGGTTCACTTCAAAATGGATGATTGCCGGCTTGAAACCGGGTGAAACTGGGTAATGTGAAATTCCCCGTAGTTTCACAAGTACACTGGGCTGCCTTCTGTGTTGACAAGTGAAATGTGGGAAGGTAGTACCAGAAAACTAATTCTCATGACTATCAGTGGTTAGCACAGTGGATAGCACAATACTTGCCTATAATGAGAAACTAAAAACGGCTACTGAGAAACTAAAAACTTGCTATAATGTGAAACTAAAAAAGGCTACTGCACTTTGGTCACATTATGAGAAGACAGGACTCAATGGAAAAGACAATAATGCTAGGGAAAAGATGAAGACTCAACAGGAGATGGATTGATTCTATAAAGGAAGCCAGGACCCAGTTTGCAGGACCTGAGCAAAGCTGTTAACAATAGAATCACAGAATCGGAAGGGGCCATACACACCCCATCTAGTCCAACCCCCTGCCCAGTGCAAGACCAGCCTAAAGCATCTCTGAAAAATACCCGTCCAGCCTCTTCTTGAAAGCTGCCAGTGAAGGGGAGCTCATCACCTCCCTAGGCAGCTGATTCCACCTTTGAGCCACTCTGACCCTGAAAAAGTGTTTCCTAATATCCAGCCGATACCTTCCTGCATGTGATTCAAACCCATTGCTTCAGGTCCTATCCTCTGCTGCCAACTGGAACAGCTCCTTTCCCTCCTCCAAATGACAGCCTTTCAAATATTCAAAAAGAGCTGTCCCCCCTCAGTCTCCTCTTCTCCAAACTAAACATTCCCAAGGCCCTCACAGCCTTTCCTCATAGGGCTCGGTCTCCAGACCCCTGATCATCCTTGTCGCTCTCTTCTGCACCCTCTTGATTTTGCCCACATCCTTTTTGAAGTGAGGCCTCCAGAACTACACACAGTACTCCAGGTGCGGCCTGACTAAGGCAGTATACAGAGGAGCTATGACCTCCTGCTATTTCGATAGGACATTTGGGAGGGCATTAATTCATAGGCCTGCTGCAACTGGGAAGCAACCTGCCACAACTTACACACCCACACACCGCCACTTGCAGTAGTGCTTTCAGCTCCCCATTCACAAAGAGAGTCACCTGCCTTCCTACTTCGTTGGCTGAAATAGAAAGGACTCTTTTACCACATGGACACTGTGGCAAAGAGCTCCCCATCTCCTCTGACAGTCTGCCCTGGGGATGCCTAGCAATACCGAGCTCCCAAGGTAACCCTTGCTGAAGAGTGCAATTCACCACCGGCTGACGTTGAAATGTAACTGGGTGGGAAAACTAACAGTGCAGTGGAGTCACGTCACACATTATAAAGGGAGAAGGAGCAGGGAGGAAGAGACACAGGGGCTGTTGCTTGGGGTGGCAGCCAAGGCTCCCTCTAAGCTGTGGAGTCTTGTGAGCAAAAATTCTGCTTTGTGAGCTACTGGCATTAAAGTTGTGAGCGAGCCATTGGGCTGCTGCATAAATCAATTTGCTCTGGAGCCCTCCTTCCTGAGCTAAGGCGAAAATGTGTGAGCCGGAGGCTAAAAAGCTATGAGCTAGCTCACACTAACTCAGCTTAGAGGGAACACTGGTGGCAGCCCAAGCGTCTACCATTGCATTCGTTTCCACCCGGTAACACGGCAGCCTACAGCCATAAGGAAAGCATGCCACTAGGGATTAGCATTAAAGACAAGGATACATGATGGGAGGTGAAGCAGTACGCATGCAGAACACTGAAGGCGAACAGGGCTGTATATATATATATATATATCTTGATTTGTGTTTGCTTTCAGTCTCCCCAAACCACACTAGGAACAGCCAAGAAAGGCACACAAAGCAGAACAGTGCAAACTAATGATCTTCAGCTAGCAATTTTACCTTTGCCTTGTCCCTCATGGATCCTTTTCCCAATATTGACATTTTTGTCAATGTCTCTTCCTGCAGGCGCTTCAGAGAATTGCCGCGCGGGCCTAAAAGTTTCCCCACAAAGTTGAACTGAAAGACAAAATAAGTGACAAAAAAAGCAGTTTAAAAAAAAACCCCTATCCATAGCACAGACGAGCTGCAGAGTGACTTTAGAGTCTTGCCAGGTATGAAAATTGTTGCTGAAAACAGCACTTGGCTGTTTCTGCAAAACAAAGAAGTGGATTGTAGATTTTATAGCCATTGGAATGGAGGAGAGAAATGCACAAAAAAGTTAACACCGTTCCCTTATTTAGCCATACCTAGATCTGGATTCAAAAGCTGAACCATGGAAGACCATTTAAACCATAGTTCCAACCAACAAAAAGTAGATAACTTACGCATAAGCGTCACAATTTGCACAACAGACATACATATCAACAAGTCAAAGACTTAAACGTCTTCTCAAATGACACTCTTACATTACTGGTTATACATGGGAGGCAACATGGATGCTGCTATACATGGGGGGGGGGCATCTAGGGCTTAATGGAGATCCTCCTGGGAGCTCTGCTTAGTGGGTAAATCTGGGCCAGGGAAAGGGAGTGGCAGCAGTTATGTTCCATGAGGAGGGAGCAACGATGCCAAAATGAGTCCTATTCAAATTGGAATAGGTCTGAACAAAAACATAAAAATTAGAACCTTACTTAAAATGTTGGAACTCTTATTTTTCAGGCTTTCAAGTCACAGCTGATTTATGGTGGTCCTGTAGGGTTTTTCAAGGCAAGAGACGAGCAGAACGGATAAAAGGAAGTACTTCTTCACCCAAAGAGTGATTAACACATGGAATTCACTGCCACAGGAAGTGGTGGCGGCTACAAGCATGGAAAGCTGCGAAAGGGAATTAGATAAGCAAATGGAGCAGAGGTCCATCCGTGGCTATTAGCCACAAGGTATAGGTAGGGGCTCTGGGGCAAGTGATGCTCTGTCTTCTTGGTGCTTGGGGGGGGGCAACAGTGGGAGGGCTTCTAATGTCCTGGCCCCACTGGTGGACCTCCTGAGGGCACCTGGTATTCTTGGCCACTGTGTGACAGAGGGTTGGACTGGATGGGCCTTTCGCCTGATCCAACATTGGTGTCTCTTATGTTCTTATGTTCAGAGATGGCTTGCCATTGCCTGCCTCTGTGCAGCAACCCTAGACTTCCTTGATGGTCTCCCATCCAAGTGCTAAACAGGGCCAACACCCTTTTTAACTTCCAAGATAGGTTTCCTAGTAAGAATTCTGGCCCAGGCTAGCCCTAACTTAAAAAGTCTGGCCCCATTTCTACAAAAAATTGATCCGAAGTATCAAAATCAAGCCATGGTGGATGTAACCCACCTACCTGTTCCTCACAGTAGCCTAGCAGATGTCTCAAGGATTAATGTGAATAGCGAGTGACGGACTGGTTTCATCTTGCAGGTGTTGCTAATTGGGTCTCACTGCCTACAAAGCCCTTATCTTCAAGGCCAGAGCTGGAAATGTAGTAATTAGCTTCTCATGAGAAACTGTAGCTTACAGGATTGGGGCGGGGGGGGGGAGGATCAAGAGTGATGAGGTCACTTTCTAGAGGGTTCCAGTAAGAATGTGTCCTGATTGGGTGTCATCATCACCTGATGCTACTTGGCTAAAAAACACCTACAATTGAGCTAAGAGCCTGGAGAAAAAAAGTCTTGCTTCGATTCTGATGGACTAAAGGCCTGGACTATGATGTGCTCATATCGCAACAGACAGCAACACAGAGGATGCCTAAGCTATGGCCTTTGTGCCATCTAATGCAGATCATGGAAACGTTGTTAGTTAAGCCAGTTTTCTTTTCTTTTTCCTTGCAGCATGATTTTACAGTGCTGTGTTGCCTGTAGATTAAACATTTATCCTGAAAAATATTAAATAAAACTATATAAAGGTTTGGCTACTTGTGTACATCATGACATGGGAACCCATGGGGTTTAGCCTTGGACTCCTTGAGAACACCCCTTCTGTTTCAAGAGGTCTTCTTTGGGGAGGATAAATGTGTCTTCTTGAGCTACTCAATCCATCCATCCACTATCTACCTTTCATTATCAAACTGCCCATTTATTGCCTTCATCATGGATCCCCAATATGGTGCCCAGCGATATGCTTCCTGGTGTCCACTTATTTCTCCTCCAAAGAACCTCTTCACTAAAGCAAGGAGCCTGTTCTGGCTTTACCCCAACAAAGTGGAGTAAAAGAGGATTCAAAAAGGCCTATGGTGATCACCTCTGGATCTACAGGGAACACCCAACTGGAAACAACAATTACTTCTGTCACATTCTGTGGAGCATTTCAGTGTTCTGTGATTGCATTTACTCCAATATGGTAGCCATTTTGTACTGGTCCCACCCACTCAATGGAAATCATTTCGGTGTGGTACTACCTGTTCTCAAAATTCCCAAAATGCCCACAGGCTCAACAAGGTTATTGACTTTTTTCTCTACATCCTGTTTAATTGTCCTCTGATTGGCAGCGTGAATTCAGGAGGTTCATCTACATAGTGGAAAAGTGTAGAGATACAAGCTACTAATTTTGCTGGCTTTCTTGATCTCTGGCTCTTTTTCCCTCTTAATTTGCTAGATTACTGAAAATGGCTTGAATAAAAATGGCAACCACACTTTGGAATACAATGACATATCTACTAGGCATCTATACTACTCTTTTAGGAACCAGCTGAAAACTGTTATGACCAAGCCTTTGGTGGCCAATAAACTCGCTTCTTGTCCTTATTTCTTCACTTTTATTGACAAAAACTTCTCCACTTGTCGCCAAGAGCTGATTTGCAAGTCTGTTTGGTAGAAAGGGAGATACAAATGATTTAAGTCACTAAACTGGAACAAACTGTTTCCATAATGAGGGAAACAAGCCGTGATTCTCCCAAGGTCTGTACGGGGATCATGAGAACCAAAATTTTCCATCAGGGATGAATGGTGAGATGCAAAAATATGCCAGTTCGGGATGTTAAAAGCCAAAGTGGACTACAAAGGACTTCCGGAAGAATCTCTCCCAAACTTGGTGACCAGGCTAAAGGTAAGCCTGTTTGAAGTAATGCATGGGATGAGCAGGACCCTATCTCCTTATTTATTATTTCAACTGAACTGGCTGAGATTATCTAGGGAAGAGATTTTATTGGTTGTGGTGGACATGAAAACACCATCTCAGTGTGTAGCAGCAGCAGCAGCAAAAAAAAAAAAAATCAAATTCATCTTGGGTGAAGAAAAGCACTGAAAATGAGGTGTCCAGTATCATATTATTGAAAATTTAATCTATAGTGTGACCACATTTGAAATGCACCAAACAGATAGATACGGAACACTGTATGCTGTACTGGCAGCCTCATCTCTGCAAAATATCACAGCACTGGGAAAGGCACAGAAAATAGCAGCCAGAATAATCAAGGAGCTGGAATATCTACCCTGCGACAAAAAGTCTGATGCTTAAGAGTTCACAGTCTTTTTGGGGGGAGAGGGAGAGATAATTATAGGGAGGGGATATGACAAGAGGTTAATAGTTAAGAATTGTCAAGACAGTGAGATTTATCTGACCTAACGCTAGAACTTGGGGTAACCCTATTAAACTATTTCAGGACAGACAAAGAGAGACGCTTGTTAACACAAGACATAATTACCGTATTTTTTTGGACCATAAGACTCACTTTTTCTTCCAAAAAAAGTGGGAGGAAAAGTGAGTGCGTCTTATGGACCAAAGGTTCAGAATATTTTTTTCCCTGTTTTCCTCCTTTAAAAACTAGGTGCGTCCTAAGGTCAGGTGCGTCTTATGGTCCGAAAAATACGGTAACTTGTGGAATTCACTGCCACAGGACTAGATGACGGCCAGTTGTGGATTTAGATGGGTTTTGAGAAGGATGAAGAAGATCCAAAATCAGTGGCTATTTGCTTGGATAACTAAATGAGCTATCATGCTCACGGACAGTATTCCTCTGGGGATGTACCTACAGTGGCTGGAAACATAAGGTGGGACTTGACAGATCCTCATTATGATCTTGTTGGCTTGTTTGTGTTCTTCCTTTAGCTTTTTTTATTTAGTTACAACGGGTTTAAGAATGTAGACAAAGTTCCGTTGCTCCTCAAGGGTCTCAGATTGAGCATCCATTACATGCCACACTGGCAGCCACCTCTGAATACCAAAAAATGCTATGAAAAAAGCAAAGACACCCGGCAAAGAAAAACACCCATGACATCTATCATGAAAAGCCAGGGACGGAGAAGCCCACTGGCTTTAATGTAGGAGCAACTCGTAATTTTTAGCTGATGCAGTAGAAATATTGTGACTTTTGTTTTGTTGACACTGAAGCATGTAACTGGGTGCGTTCAGACGCGCCATTTGATCTGGTGCCATGATGGTTCAGCAACGGATTTTATCTGCAAGATCACACAGTCAACACCTGCCTCCCGTCCCCAGCGGTTGGTTTCCACCTCAAAACCGCTTTAACCTGGAGTATTTTGTTACCAGGTCCCAAAGTGGTGTTTTCTCAGCTCTCCCGTTTAAAGCCGCATTTTCCCCCTGTGTGATTGCTCCTCTGGTGTCAAGCTACTTCCGGTTTAAACCCCCTCCCCGCTCGAAAGCTGCCTGAGGGTTCCGCTTTTCGCCCGCCATTTTTTTAATGCATTGGCGGTGTGCGCATAGGTGGAGCTCCACCACCGCGTTTAGAAAACCGACATCCAAACGGTCACTTGTTTTAGCATTTAGATGAGATCGGGATCGCACAGAGGCCATTTTCAGGTCAAACGTTTAAAGGGAAGCCTTTTGTTGGAGGGATTGGATTGATTTGCCTTGGTGGTTCTGCGCACGGGCCATGGTAGTTCCCACCTTCTATTGATGAGCGCCTCTGTGCATGCGCAAACTGTGTAAAAATTAAAAAACCACCAACGCACGCTCCCATGCATTGGTAGTGTAGACAGAGGGGAGTGCTGCGACTGCGCGGTAAAGCAGGATAAGGGAGGTAAGTGTGATTGCAATTATCCAGATCAAACATAATCCGGTCAGAATCGAAGCAGTTTAACCCGCTCTCAGCACGCCGTCTGACCGCACCCACTGGGTCTCAGACAGCTTGAGCCCTCAAAACTGAAGCCAGTGTTGAGACCATGCAGGGCTGATAAAAATATAACATAAATCTGGTTGTTAGCTAGATCGCTTTGTGAGAGTCATAACCAGGGGTTGTGTTCAGGGCCATACGCTCTACCTCACACACATCCCACGTTACCTTGGGCCAGCACTACTCCTGGAGGAAACCCACCCTGGGTAAGAGAAGTATGAGGCCAATCCAAAACTGAATTTCTTGTTTTTGGCAAGCACCTCAGGGACTGACGTTCGCTATATGTAAAGCTGACCCAAGTAAAGGGCTGGGGAGAACGGGAGAGCTTTCTGAGCAGAGAGGAACTAAATGCATGAAACCTGAAACCTACTCCTGATCCTTATCTCTATATAAGAACATCAGAAGAGCCCTGCTGGATCAGACCAGAGGTCCATCTAGTCCAGCATCCTGTCTCACACAGTGGCCAAGCAGTTCCTCTGGCGGGCCAACAACAGGGCAGAGAGGCTGAGGTGTTGCCTCCTGGCTCTGGGATCGCTTCCCCTCAGCCACCATGGTGCCACTGATAGACTTATTCTTCATTAATCTATCTAATCCCCTTTTAAAGCTGTTTATTCCTGTAGCCATCGCAACATCCTCTGGCAGCAAAATCCACATTTTAATCACTCTGTATAAATAAGTTATCTAAATGGATCTAATGGATCTCATGGTCTGATTCAGTATAAAGCAACTTCATGTGTGTTTTTGGCCGCTGCTGCCAAGCCACCACACCTGGCCCCTTTTGGGGATGGGCCACAGCTCAGTGGACTTCCCTCTGTTTTGCATGCAGAAGGTCCCAGGTTCAATCCCTGACATCTCCAGTCAAAAGGACCAGGCAGTAGACGATGTGAAAAGACCTCTAGCTGAGACCATGGAGACCCACTGTCCGTCTGAGTAGACACTACTGACCTTGATGGACCGATGGTCTGATTCATTATAAGGCAGTTTCATGAGACATATGCACCAGCCCTGAGCCACCACAGGCTCTCCAAGGAATTCTGGGAATCATAGTTTTTAGCCCAATCTCTTCAGACCTTGGAAGCTAAGCAGAGTCACCGCTGGTTAGTACTTGGATGGACAACCGTCAAGGAAGCCCAGATTTGCTACACGGAGCCAGGAAATGGCAAACCACCTCCATTCATCTGCTGCACTGAAAACCCTACAGGGGTCACCAGAAGTTGACAGTGATTTGATAGCACCTTCTGCTACCTGGATGGCCTAGGCTAGCCTGATCTCATCGGAGCTAAGCAGGGTTGGCCCTGGTTAGTACTTGGATGGGGGACAACCAAGGAATTCGAGGGACACTATGCAGAGGGAGGCAATGGAAAACCACCTGTTAGTCTCTTGCCATGAAAACCCTACAGCAGGGGTGTCAAGCATGTGGCTCGGGGACTGAATCAGGCCCCCGGAGAACTTCCATCAGGCCCACAGTGGAACTGGCCATCTCCTGCTTCCAGTTCTGCTGCTGCTGCATCATAGCTTGCTTCTCCAGACTCTCTTAATCACTCAGCCATTTCATGTTTTAACCTGGGTCCTAGACTCAGAACTCTGAGCACGAGATTTCTGTGGTGAATGTCAATAAATTAAAAGTAGGTTTGCAGCTTACAGAGCTAATGTTTTAAGCATGTTTTTATTTTAAGTAAAAAAAAAAATCTTGTGTTTGTGTCCTTTATAAAGTTTACATCTCCGCTACCTGGCATTACGTTTCATGACATACATGGCCCGGCCCAACAAGGTCTCATTTATGTCAGATCCGGCCCTCATAACAAATGAGTTCAACACCACTGCCCTACATGGTTGCTGTAAGTCGGCTACAACTTGAAAGCACTTTCCACCACCAAAAATTCATGGCAGCCAACAGCTTTAAGTAATAACAGCAAGCTTGGATTCCCAAGATTCTTTAAAGAAAATCTCAACTAATTAAGCCAGGGCCTTTTTTTTTTGCTTATTTTGTAGAGGTAACCTCAGGCAATTAGCAAGAGCTCTTTAAAAAGGAGACATTAATAATGCCTCGTCAACAATTCGCCTCATTTTATTAAAAACAATCATTGCTTAAATTGGTGCTCCATAGTTAACTTACATAAAGATCTACTTTGCAGTTTAATGGAACAGTGGTCAATATATTTCAAAAGCCTGTCACGATTTAACGATTACAAGGCTTCTTTTGCAGTCTGAAATACACAGCCAGGTATGCTATTAAGGGAAAGCCATATAAATAAATCTTCGGTGCATTCCTAAATGAGGGATTATTCATTTACTGTAAACCATGCAGGATATCCATTTCACAATGCCAAGCAGCTATTGCGCGATATAAATCTGAAGACAGAACATTCATACAGACCCAAGATATCAATTAGGAAGCATCAAACCATAGTTCTGTTACTTCATGTAAGCAGTTTGTAAAGCCAAGAATTTTGCATTTATTAAAAAAAGGCACACAGTTAACCACAATGCTGCTCTTTGCAGTCTTCCCACATAACCGCAGGACTGCAAATAGTGTTTACAATCTAAAATATAGATTTCAATACATAATTAATTGCTGTTGTTGAACTCGCCTTCCCTTTGATATCAATAAACGTATCTTTGCCCACTCGGTTCTTCTTCCTAGAAGACAACCAAATGCCAGGGAGAAGCTGAAACCGCTCTCCTTGCAGAAACGAAGGAGAGAGTCACGGGGCACATGCTAGGACAGAGCATTTATGTACCTGCATATTCACCCCTTCGAAGATCAAAAAAAAGACTCCTAAGAAGTAATTGGAAAGGGGGCCAGAAAAGAAGCAAAACTAGGCCTTAATGTTCCAAGCAAAGACAAGGGGCTGTGGTCCTTAGGTCCACCTGCTTTCCCTTCTTCCTCAGAAGGCAGCACCAAGATTGAAGACTTCCAGGACTGTTCCTTGAGACCTGGTGTCACGGCTCAGGGGGGGGGGGGGGATCACCTGACGCTGCCACCACTCTGGATTTAGGATCCCTTGAGAAGGTCCAGAGCACCCCCCAAGACCTTTAGACCTCCCTTTTAGCCGAATAATAGGTGTGAGGACCAGGCAGAGTACAACAAGGAAAAGGTTTACTTTATAAGAGGTCAAACAAACAAGGTGCAGAAATATAACAGTAAGTGGGTGAAAATAAAAGAAATGAAATGCCCCAACGCGTCGAAATATATACTGTCCCTAGCTCACTATTCCAAGTGGCACTAGACTACTCACCCTTCCCTCAGGATGAGGGTCTCTTCCCTGCAGCCGCCTTCTTTCTGGCTCTGCCCTCTGGAAAGAATAACAGCTTTTCCTGCTGCTCCAGATCTTTTATTCCAAGCCCTCCTCTTTTCCTATTGGTCAATTTTGGCTCCAAAACCTCTCAGGGGCTTCTGGGAGTTGTAGGCCCAGCCTCACCTACTGCTAGCCAGGCTCCCTGGGCCTAGTAGGCCTCTGGTGGCACAGCCCAGATCATGACACCTGGAAATCAGGTGAAATGACAACTGTGTTTGGTTCTGTTGCCTAGAGATCAGGACGCTAAACTAGGGGTGTCAAACATGCGGCCCAGAGGCCAGATCAGACCCCCGGGGGGCTTCTATCAGGCCCACAGTGGAACTGGCTGTCTTCTGCTGCTTCTTTGTGGGTTTGCGGTTTACAGATACACTCCTGAACAGTATACTCAAGATTCCAACAGCACAGACATTTCGATGCAATAATTCAGAGCAAGAGGTGTCAGTTATCAGACACTGTTAAATAAACAAAATATTGCAAGAGTGCTAATGTTTTAAGCATGTTTTCATTTTAAGTAAAAAAAAAGTTTGTGTTTGTGTCCTTTATAAAGTTTATATCTCCACTACCTGGCATTACATTTTATGACACACATGGCCCGGCCCAACAAGGTCTCATTTATGTCAGATCCGGCCCACATAACAAATGAGTTCGACACCCCTGCGCTAAACCATGATCAGCTTACAACCTGGTTTGTATGTAAGAACAGTGAGCCACGGTTATGCAAAGGTGGTTGCAGGGATGAATCGCAGGCACCAATGAACCGTTTAAAAGATGCATTGAACACACATTCATCAGATTCCAACTTGTCATCGCTCAACGTACCTTTGGAAATTGTTTCACTGGAATTAATACTTTCTGTCCCAGTTTCATATTTTTGTTAATCACTACGTCGATGTATTTTTCCTCTTCCTTTCCTTCCCCTTTTTGAAATTTCTCGATTTCTGCAACAAGGAAAAAAAGGACAACACGATTTAGTAGGAATATATACAAATCATGTTAAAGCCACTGAAAGCACTTATTCTCAAGCCACAACAAACGGCAGGTAAATAAATCGAGGAGATTCTGAAGATTTCACTTGCACTGTTCTCCGTTTCTTAGATCAGGGCAAAGTACAGCTGTTAAAAACTCAACTTCTGATTAAACCTTCAGTTGTTTGCCCTCAGAGTTATGCACAGATTTGGGAGAGTGCAACAGCTTGCATATTACTCCAAGGAGCTCAGGCGACTTACATGACCGTTCCCTTTTTCATCCTCACAACACTCTTGTGAGGCAGGAAAGGAGGAAACTGCATGGCTGAGCCAAGCTGACAAAAAGCTCCATGTTGGGATTTGAACTAGTGTCTCCCTCGTCCCGGAGTTGTCTGTCAGTCACCTCACTAATTCTCAGGAAGAAGTACACAAAACTCAAAACGATAAAGTGACAAACCTTTCTGGAGTGCATTTCTGACATGCAATTCTCATGTAGAGTCAGATTTTGTGGACCAAGGTTCCATGGGACATTTGGAAGCAAGATCAAATTCAATAGGCACAGGAACAGCACATCAATTTCCACAACCCTGGAAAATTATGATATTTGTCCCAGAGTGTGACTCATCTGGGAGAGCCACAAAAGATTTTTTTTTTTTGCGATGAAGTCACAAATGAGTTATGGTGACCTTACAGGGTTTTCAAGGCAAGAGATTCCAGAGGTGGTTCGCCATGGCCCGCCTCTGCATCATGACCCTGGTATTCCTTGGTGGTCTCCCATCCAAAAACTAGCCTATCCTGCTTAAATTCAGAGACCTAATGAGATCCGGATAGTCTGGGCCATCCAGGTTAGGGTCACAAAAGCGTAGGTAGGGAGAGATGCTGCATTTCCAAGGTGCTCTTCTGCAAAGAACTAGTCTCACCAACTCTATCATAGAGATTCCAAACCAAGTATGATTTGAGCATTTGACCTGTATCTAAAATGCGAACCCCCCTCCACCAAGAGCTGAGGGGCCACATTCAAAATGTGTAATCTCTGGAAAGGCCAGGACCAGTCACAGCTCCATCACTGAGAAGTCATGTCTGCAGCTGGGCTGAACGCTCTACAAAGCTAACAAATGCCTTGTTTGGGATCTGCATGCAAAAAAAGCATTAAATAGTATTACTCAAAACCAACGCAGCCCAAGCAGCATCGGGAGCATCAAGATAAATGGTCCTGCCTCCCCTTTCCCACTGTAGTCTGTGCATCCCAAAATTGTGCCCCCCTGGGTCAAAGGACCCCCTAGGAATATCACCGAGGCTGAAGAAGGGACTTGCGGTGGGGAGAGAACCAGACAAATCAAGTCACCCTCCCCTACTGAAAGTGCCTGCTGCCAAGAAGAACGGAGACCTAGGATGCTGGTTGCAGACTAAGGATCATCAAAATTAGCTTCTTTTGCACTTCGATCTTCAAAAAGACACAAGAAGAGCCCTGCTGGATCAGACCAGTGGTCCATCTATTACAGCATCCTGTCTCACACAGTGGCCAAAGCCAGCTTCCCTGGAGGACCAGAAAAAAAGGCCATAAATGCTCAGGGCCTTCCCCTGATGCTCTTCCCTGGAGGACCAAAAAAAAAGGGCATAAATGCTCAGGGCCTTCCCCTGATGCTGCCTCCTACCACTGTTATTCTTTCTTGAGTTATTTCTCTGCAGACAGAAAGGGGAAGATGACAGGGAGATTTAGAATACAGGTAAATCAGGTTTTAAATCAGTTTCCAAATTCAGGCTTTAAATCAAACTGCCTTCCTTTCCAGCGTATTTGACCTAGCTGGTGATTACATGTTTCTCTTTTATGAACTGCTGGCCCACTATGAGCCCTCAAGGAAGAGAAGGGGACCGAACAGCCCAAATGTACGGTCTGTTTAAAGAACAAAGATGGGCTAGATCTTTCCATTGCTTGCAAGAACAACATTCTCTGAGTGTTAAATGGCAAACTGCCTCAGATGAATAAAAACCTATTTCCTGTCTCCTACTCATTTCAAGTGTAAAGCCAGCCACACATAATTGAGCTGAGGACCTGAGATTTATCGCTCCCTTCTGGGACAAAAAAACCCCAAAACTGAACCTGCTCACACCCAACGTGGTACAAGAATAGCTCTTAAAAGAATTGCCTTGCTGGATAAGACCAAGGCCCATCCAGCCCAGCTGCTCAAATCATGTCATGGTGATGCTCCTTTTTCCTTGATCCCTCCTACGGTATCAGCCTGAGGCAGACTGCACCAGTACCTGGAGGTTCCATTTAGTGATCACCAACAACCAGTGTGGTGGAACGGGCAATGGAAGTGACTGAATCTATGCATCTCTTTACAAAAGGGAGAAAGAAATCATTTAAAACAACCTGTCACAAAGCTATCTTGAGACTGTGAGCACTATACAACAAGACCTTGCTGTTAGAGATGTAAAATTTCCGGAAATTTTGAAGCTCGGAAAAAAACCCGGGTTTTTTCCCAGGTTTTTTCGGGGGGAAACGGAAATTTTCAGAAAAATTGAAAAAATGCTACATTAGCACTTCTTTTGTCTTTTCTAGATTGAAAGTCAATCTGTTACTTTAGGCACATAAAATATGACTATGGACATTTTTACTTGGCATGAAATTATCACAACTAGCATATTAAAAATATAGTGTATCCAAACAGTTATTACAAACAGAATACTTGCCCACATGCAAAAACGAAACTGAAACCTTTTTCTTTTCTCGTGACAATAGCGCCTCCTAAAGGAAGAAATGCATCTTGTTCTTGCATTGGAGAGTTCAGTTTGTAACCTAGGACTTGCTTGTCCTCAGTGCACAGAACTGATATATATATTAGAAATGATTTGGAAAATATTTGAACACCTTGTCTTAAAACATTTTATTCATAATGTTAAAATAAAACGTTCCATAATCGTTTTTTTTTTTTTTCTTTTTTCAATTTTTCGGAAAAAAACAAAAAAGGCTTCATGGAAAAAACGGTAAAAAGGCGTTTTCCCCCCGAATTTTTCCGTTTTTTTTTTCCGGGCCTTCACATCTCTACCTGCTGTTGAATTATTTCTTTTTCCCTGCCTTTCACCTTCAGAAGGAGGACTTCAACATCTGGACCTTAGTGGACAAGGAACACAACTGCAAGACCATGAAGGAAGTGCAAGCATAGCATGCACTGGAAGAGGTAGAGGAAGTTGTAGAGGGGCCACAGCTCAGTGGTAGAGCACCTGCATGGCAAGTACAAGGTCACAGGTTCAATCCCTGGCCTCTCCAGTCAAAAGGATTACATCAGGTAGTTGATGATATGAAGACCTCAGCCTGGAGACTTCCTGCCAGTCTGTGTAGACGATACTGACCTCGATAGACCAAGGGCCCGATTCAAGAGAAGGCAGATTCATGGGATCAAATTGTCAGCAGGTTAACATTCAGGCACCTTTTAATCCTTGCTTTTTCAAACGCACGCAAGTCTTGTTCGCAGTCTTCCGTCCCCCACCCCATTCAACAAAACTAAGCCTGAATCCAGTTTCCCTAAGTACCTCATTAAGAACACTAATACAATGAATATCCATTTCTACAGAAAGTATATTTAGCCATCATTTGTTCCACTTTCTCCCAGCTCTTCATTACATTCCACAATGCCTCTTATCTAGAATGTACAATACCTTCCGTAAGAAAAAAAGGAAGTCTTAAAATAAATCCAACTTGTACCAGTAGAGGTATATTCAAAATGTAATGCTTGGTTCAATGGAATCCAGATCAATACAATTATCTTCATCGTGCATGTGTGTGTGTGCACGCAACCTAAGACCACCATGAATCACATAACTGGCGGCAGTACACAAATCTGGCATGTCTCCCTCCCTCAAAAGAAAACTGTGGCAGGGTAAATGTCCATGAAGCTATTCTATATTTATTAAATTTAGGAAGCTAATAGTCAGGCTAACAACAACAACTTGCCCAAAGAATTACAGAAGAACATAAGAGAAGCCAATGTTGGATCAGGCCAATGGCCAATCCAGTCCAACACTCTGTGTCACACAGTGGCCAGAAATACCAGGGGCCATCAGGAGGCCCACCAGTGGGGCCAGGACACTAGAAGCCCTCCCACTGTCGCACTCCCCCCAGCACCAAGAATATAGGGCATCACTTGCCCCAGCCTGAGAGTTCCTACCTATACCTTGTGGCTAATAGCCACTGATGGACCTCTGCTCCATATGCTTATCTAATTCTCTCTTGAAGCCGTCCATGCTTGTAGCCGCCACCACCTCCTGTGGCAGTGAATTCCATGTGTTAATCACTCTTTGGGTGAAGAAGGACTTCCTTTTATCTGTTCTAACCCGACTGCTCAGCAATTTCATTTGTGCCCATGAGTCCCGGATTGTAAGAATTACATTAAATCAAATTAAATCAAATTAAAACTTTGACCAGAACAAAATAGGTAAGAGTTCAAATGTTTATTTGGTTCATTAACCTATTTCACAAGAAACGTCTCTTAAAACCAAACGAAACTCGCTCCAGTGAAATCTGCTGTCATGCAAGATAAGCCAGATCATACCTGCATGAAGGAGCTCAGGTCATTAGTTTCCACTGAACAACACTTAGGATTGGATCCAGACTGAATGGGCTTGTCCCACTGATTCCCCCTTCCTGCAGCAGACCCCCCCCCCTCTTATGTGTGGTCCTCAGGGTCCCCTGTCCCACAGGAGCAGCATTTTGTGGGGATCAGCAGGATGCAGGGAAATTTCTGCACTGCAGCCCATTAACCGCACAACAAACTCTTCACATTGCTGTGAAGACGGAGGTTCCAAGAGATTTTTTTTTCTGTAGTGGACAGCCAAGCAACATCTTGCCTTGAGGGTTCAATCAGCACATATGCCAGTTGTGGCTCACCCACATTTAGGAAGTTTTTTAAAAAGAAGTCTTAAAAAAAAAAAGGTAAAACATTTTCAACACAGCTTGGCTTACAATCCAGACA